GATCCTCCTGCCTCAGCCTCCTGAGTGCTGGGATTATAGGCATGTGCCACCACACCTCGCTAATAAATAGCATTTTTAAATACAGGCAGACCTGCACGTGCTGACATGGAAAAAACCTCCAAGATAGGTTAAGGAAAAATGCCACCACACATCTATAGGCTTATGTCTGGAAAGACTCCAAGACACTGACAGCTGGGAAAAAATTCAGGGGCTCACAGTGATAGGGACACTTTATTTTTCCTATCCTCTTTGGGCTTTGAACACCAGTTTTTTTGGGTGCTGGACATCAAACCCCAGTCCTCACATACACTAAGCGAGCACTCTATCCTGAGCTACACTCCAGCCTAGAGGTACATATATTCTTTTTGTTTTTGAGACAGGATCTCACAATGTAGTTCAGGCTGGCCTTGAACTTACTTCAGTCATCCTGCCTCAGCCTCTGTCTTCCAAGTGCTGGGATTATAGACATGTGCTACTATGCTCAGCTACAAAAAGTATATATTCTTGACATTTTTCTTAAACAATCAACCTTGAACAAAACACGAATTTCAGATAAAATACAGGCATTATGCCAGGCGTGGTGGTGCACGATAATCCTAGCTTTTGGGAGGCTGAGGCAGGAGGACTGCTGAGAGTCTGAGGCCAGCCTGGGCTACAAAGTGATTTCAAGGCCAGCCTACACTGCATAGTGAAACCCGTCTCAAAAAGCGCCCCCACCAAAAACAAAACAAAACAAGAACAACAAAATATATATATAGGTATTACTAACTTTTAGTGACACTAGGGTGTGGACACAGGACAAAATAAGAGACATTAATAAGCTAATACCCTCATTTTTCAAAACCAGGCAATCAACCCCTGTTCTGCCCTGGTTCAACAGCAACATTACACATTCAGAAAGGATACTCCACAAAACAGAAGCCACATGCTGTTTTCTTCATTTTATCCAAACCCATAATGATCTTTTTTATGTCACCACTTTTGCTGAAGAGTTCATAAATCTGTTCTTCAGTTGTGTAAAAGGAAAGATTTCCGACATACAATGTGCAGCTTTTCTTCAGTAATTTTTCTTGTTCTTCATTGTCACCCTAGAAGATCAAACAGAGATAAGGTTAACCTTACAATTAAAAAGAGGTTTGCTTAATGCCCAGCATGTGGTACGATTGTAATCCCACTGATTAGGAGACAGAGGCAGGGAGATTGCTGGGAGTTAAGGGCCTGCCTGTGCTACATAATGAATTCAAGGCCAGCCTGAATTGCATAGTGAAACCTTTCCTCAAACAAAAAAAAACAAAAAGCGAAAACTTGATGGTGTGAATTTAATGTGGCCTCAATCAGAATTTCCTTTCCCGACTAACACATTTATACTCTCCACACCTACCTCCTGTGGCACTCCCTTCCCCATCACAAGGGGGTCTGGCCCTTCTCTGAATCTTAACAGCCCTCCCCTTTCCGATGATCATTTCTACTTTGGTTTTTGATTTTGATCACTTGCTTTCTTTTTTTTGGCGGGGTGGGGAGGTGTTCCGGTACCAGGAACTGAACTCACGACCTTGGGCTTGCCAGGCAGGCGCTGTGCCGCTGAGCTAAATCCCCAGCCCTGATCACTTGTTTTCATTTACAACCCTTACTACAGGATTGAGCTCTTAGAGTGCACAACCTTCCCTATTCCCCTAGGGTTCAGCAGAAGGCTTCAGCAGCAGCACTCAGTAAAGGGTATTGTGTTAATTTCTGCCACCTCATTCTGTCCCACCCCTACCTTTGCTGATACAGAAAACCTCACTTGGAATATCTGCACCTTGTCCTCCTTCCACACTAGTAAGTCATAAGGCAACCACCCCACCCCACCCCCCCGCGAGGGACTTAAACTCTCAATAATAAAAACTCCTTCCTCTTCACCTGTTCCCCTCCACCTGTTGTCCTACTCCGCTGGGCAGCCCGCCCTGTCGCTCTCCCGCCCAATAAAGACTCCTCTGGTGTCAGAAGGTCTGGTCTGGTTCTGTGCGGGTCTAGGCCGGATCACACACTGAGACACAGTCTAAACCAAAATTTCCCTCTTCTGAAACCCAGCAGTTCTCTGATTTTGACATCCAGACACCTCCCCACTTAAGAGGCCTTCCCAAGGGCAAAACAGGACTCGGCTTTGTGTTTCTCACCCACTGCTTAGAACTTTATGGGTTACCCTACTAAAAGAAAGCCGGGGGGCGCTAGGGATTTAGCTCAGCGGCAAAGCGCCTGCCTGGCAAGCGCAAGGTCGTGAGTTCGATTCCTGGTACCGAAGAAAAGACAAAAAAAAAAGAAAGCCGGGCTTGGTGATGCACACTTGTAATCCCAGCATTCTGAGAGGCTGAGTCAGGAGAATCGCAATCCCAGCATTCTGGGAATGAAGCTCAGTGCGAGGGCCCTCAGGGTTCAACCTCCAAGTATCTAAGAAAAAAGCCTCGAGGCGCCAAAATGCAGTATGTGAACGATCAACAACGCGTGTCAGCAAGGCGGCACCGTGTACCCTAGGGAGTGGAAAGGTCCCCCACTGCTCCGCATCACACACTTCCCGAAGCACCAATACTGTTGCCCGGAATGCGCTGGACCAAGTTTAGGCCGCAGCTGCACGGGAATGGGAAAGCGAGTCTCAGATTCCCTTTCCAGGACAGAAAGTGTTTCCAGGGATAACCAGACGGCCTTCTGGCATCCATTCCCGCCGCTCCAGCAGGCAAGGGGACCCCACTTCGCGTTTGAGCAAAACAGCAGAACGGAAGAAGACACAATGAGACCAAATACAGCGGTTTTCAGCGTTCTGGCCCAGGGCCTCGCCCTCTCGCGACCCGGCCTGCCTTACCCGAAAGTGCTGGTCCCGGTACTGGCTCAATTCCACGTAGGAGTCGCTGCGCAGCGCCTTCAAGAGGCCACCCGACATGATGCTAAGAAGTGTAAGAGGATGCGCCGCCTCCGTAAACAGCCGGAGGACCGCTAACGGCGGCGGAAGCGGAAACACGCAGGCGGAAGCGCAGTGTACGTATGTACGTGCGCCCAATCCGCGTGCGGCGGTGTCGTCATCACGCGGCGCGGGCGCAGAAGCGGTCCGTGGTGGAGCGCTGCCGGTAGGAAGGCAGAGCTACGCGCTAGCGGTTCCGGGGCGCTCGGAGGAGGATGGTTCTCCGGCGGCTGCTGGCTGCCCTGCTGCACAGCCCGCAGCTGGTGGAGCGGCTGTCGGAGTCGCGGCCCATCAGGCGCGCGGCGCAGCTCACGGCCTTCGCGCTGCTCCAGGCGCAGCTGCACGGACAGGACGCGGCCCGTCGCCTGCGGGCCCTCGCGGCGGGACCCGCGGGTGACCTGGGCCGCCGCGCCGCTCGATTCCGAGACACTTTCGCCCGGGAGCTTCGCCGTGGCCTCCGCGACCGCCCGGGGCCGCCGGGGAGTCAGAGGGGCCCGGGCGCGAACTCTTAGACTGGACTGGGCCGGGCCAAGGTCACCTGCTCTCCCCTCCGTGCCCGACTGACCTTGTTATTGCGCAGTCCTGACCGGCTTGTGGCCGGCTGACGTCCTCATCGGGCCGAGGGCACCGTGTGGACGACCCCGAAGAAGCCGCTGACGGACACCCGGACACTGCACGGGCTGCGGGCGTAGCCGGAGAGCCTGCCTTCTGCAGATGGGACGCAGTTCTTGACAGAGGCCGCTGCGCCCGCACCGGGACACAGGGTACCGACTCCGGGGCAGGAGGACCGAAAGACACCCCGCCGTTCTCTGATTAAATGAGCTGAGTCATGGCGTGAGTGTGGTGCTTCTCAGCCGAGGTGGGAGGGGGATCTCGGAGCTCCAGGGCCATGGTAAGAGCAGTTCACACGCTGAAGGCCTGTTTTCGTGCCAGCTCTTGCTGATTGCCTCTCTGTGGCTTGTCGCTTTTTACAGCCACTCTCAGGAAATGGAAGCCCTTTCTCGAGTTGCCCAAACCCTGCAGAGTGAGGTATGAGCGCGGGCGTGACTTCGGGGCCTGGGTCACAGCTGTGTGCTGGCAGCACTTTCGCTGCTGCTCGGCGACCGCCTCCCACATCGCCACCAGCCAGTGTGACTACTGTCCGCCATGACCAGGACTGGTCAGCTAGTTGGGGCCGTGGTTAGGAAATCCATTGCATGCAAAAAAACGCGGTCAGCCGGGCGTGGTGGTGCACGCCTGTAACCCTAGCACTCAGGAGGCTGAGGCAGGAGGATCGTTGCAAGTTCGAGACCAGCCTGGGCTACAAAGTGAGCTCAAGGCCAGCCTGAACTGCATAGCAAGATCCTGTTTCAAAAAGACAAAAAAAAAAAAAAAAAAAAAGCGCTGGCAGTTGAAGCTCTTCCCTAGATTTCTAATCACCTGTATGTAGGCGGCACAAGTAATCATGCAGCTAGAAAGCTTGAAGCCATAGGCAAAACTTTTAGGCCAGTTATTGATGCTGACTACATTGTGTGTCCAGGGTTCCATTGGGGCGGACTGAGAGGGCCTCGGACACGGTGTAAACTGAGAAGAGAGAACCACTGGGCTCCTTAATCTGAGAACGTTTTTCCTTTTGGTGCTGAAGATTGAACCCAGAACTGCAAGCATGCTAGACAGTAATCAGGCGCTGTCACCAAATCCTGCCTGCAGACCTTTGGGTCTTGCCATGTCTTGAACTATGTAGCCCAGGCTGGCCACAAACCTGTGGCGATTCTGTTGCCGCAGCCTCCCAAGTGCCGAGTGCTGGGATTATGGGTGTGCGCCACCACACCTGGCAAGGGGAGCCTTTATCTTGGAGGGAGGATATTGGGGATTGAACCTAGGGCCTTCAAATGGAGCTACATCTTCAGGCTTTTATTTTTTATTTTTGAGACGGGGCCCCACTGAATCACTAAATTCCCAGGCTGAGCTCAAACTTCCTGAGTGCTGGGATTACAAGGCTGCACCAGCATGCCCAGCTGTGAGAATGATTCTTAAGGGCAAGGTGCAGAAATGGGTGGAGAGTTTCCTGCCACGTCCAAGGGACAGGAGTGGCAGAGAGGAGGGAGAGTTCCAGAATGCCTTGTTTTGGTGAAAACCAAACTGGGGCAGCAGACATCAAGGTGCCATTAAAATACAACCACTCCCACTTCCGTGGTTAAAGAGATTTGTGAGAGGCGTGCCCGTTGAGGCAGGGGACACGTGCTTCGGACCACAGGAATGACAGTGTTAGTTGGCAGGCACTTGAGAGATGTTCTGGTCTGGGTACAGGTTGGGAGGGGGTGCGGTGGTGAGGTGGCTTCCTCTAGATCATGGGAGTGGCAGAGCGGGGACTGGAACCTGTGTGCTCTGAGTTGGAACCCTTTGCTCTCTACCGCACCCTCCCAGTGCCTGGAAGGCCAGACTGGCCCTGGAAAACGCAAGGATTGTCACGGGAGCAAGAGGGATGTCATCGGCAGTTTATTGTCTTTTTTCACAGCCAGGTACTAGATATTGAAAACACAAACAGTGGCTGAAAGCAGTAGGGTAGGCACATACTGGGTGCTGTGGGTTACACCAGGGCTCTTTGGGGACCTTAGCATCAGGACTGTGACAGTTCTGATGTGTGGTGTCTGAGAAGAACACGGGCTCACCCAGAAGGCAGAACACCCGCGGCCATGCCTGGGAGAGGCGGCAGTGGGAATGCGGGGCACCAAGGCCCCGTCGCACGTCCAGTCCAGCTGGAGGGCCTTGTGCGGCTACGCCTTGGGCAGCAACTTCTGTGCCATTCCGTCAGGCGCCGCGTCCAGCTCCACGATGTGCAAGCTAAGGTGGTCCCTCCAAGCTCCACTCAGCAGGGCGGACAGGCCAGGGGGGTCCTCCAGGGTTAGGTGGGGAAACACGCGCGTCTCGTTCTTGAGGGGGAAGCTGCACTTCTCCACGACGTGCCTGGTGGTCCCAGGCGTCACCACAAAGAGGCGGCAGAGCCACGGCCCGCCGGCCACCTGGCAAGCCGGCTGCCGGGTGAAGTTCTTCATGGCTTGGCACAGGACCCGGCCCTCGCTGCCACCCATGTCCACCACCTCCACAGGCGACCCGAGGCCCGGGAGGTGCAGGAGGTGCTGGGGCGGCATGTAGGTGCGCGCGAAGAGGAGCGTGTAGTGGGTGGGCAGGCCTGGGCGCACGGGGGCGTGGACCACCTGCTCCAGGACCCTTAGGCCGGGTACCAGGCCTCCCTGATGCAGGCAGCCGAAAAAGAGGGCACCGAGGGCGTTGAAGAGGACCAGGGTGCCCTTCCAGGGCACCGGGTGGGTCCGCGGGCTGCACAGCAGGACTAGCGGGATGAGGAGGGGGATGAGGAACCGAGCTTCCTGGTGGCTGAAGGCAGACAGCAGGGCCAAGGGCACGAAGTAGAGCAGGAGGAGGGATGCCCGGGGGTTGGACAGCAGGTTCCGGGCACCCTGCACCCTCACAAGGCCCATCTGTGCCCACGCCCGGAGGCCTGCTTGCAGCTGCTGCCATGCAGCCTGCAGCGCCTGAGCGTGCAGCACCCCGAAGAGCAGGAAGCCGTTGAGGGCCAGGTGAGTGAGCCGCGCGTGTGTGCCGTGTCGGGCGAGGTTCTGGGGATCCAGGTTGTAGCGCAGGAAGTTGGCCGGGGTAAGGACCAAGCTGCTAGACCTGGAGAGGCTGGAGAAGTACCAGCTGTCCACGGCCACAAAAGCCCCTGCGGCCAGGGCTGCCCCGGGGAGCAGCACCAGGGCCTCCCAGGCCAGGGACTTGAAGCTGGGCTTTCGGGCTCCACGCAGGCCCCAGAGGAGGAGGGGGACCAGCGCGAAGGCTAGGAACGTGGGCCGGTTGAAGAAGCCAGCAGCCACCACGGCCCCAAGAAGCCAGCTGTGCCACCACGGGCCTGGGGCAGGTTTCTTGGGTGTGAGCCTCCATGCCACATGAGGGGACACCAACACCAGCAGCCACGTGAACAGAAGCCCCTCGATGGCGTTGGAGAAGGTCCTGGTGTAAAACACCAAGGTGACGTAGGAACCAGACAGCAGGGCCAGCGCTCGCCAGCGATCTGCACCCCACAGCGGGGCCAGGTGGTACACGGACCGGTCCAGGGCAAAGGACAGGACAGTGAGGAGGAGCCGGGGCCCTACCAGCAGCGCGTAGCCACTCACAGGGCCTGGCCATGGCCCCAGCTCCTCCCAGAGCCGGAGCACCCAGAAGGCAGAGCCCGAGGTGAGCATCGGGAAGACCGCCGTGCGGCAGGAGCTGCTGGCGTAGAACTCCCAAGGCCGAGTGGCCTGCACGCCCAGGACGTCCTCTGCAGAGATCAGAGAGGTGGCTGAGCCTGCGCTAGGCCCGGGGGTGGTGGGCAGAGCCTGTGTCACCCTTGAGCTGGGGACTTGATGTCTGTGGTTTTAATCCTCTTATATCGCAGCCCTGGGCTGACCTAATCTCAGCAGCCCTCTGACAGCCCTGCCTCCAGCATGTGAAGGACTTGGCGTTCCTGCTGGGCTTAACAGTGGACAGGCTGCTGGCGAGGGATGTGGCTGACCCTGGAAGCAGGCACCAAGGAAATAAGGGTCATAGTCCCCTAGCTGAAGTGAACTAAATTCTGCCAACAACAGGAATTTTACAAGCAGATGTTTTTTCCTAGGGCTTCCAGACACAGACCCAGTGCTGCCCATATCTTGATTTCCGTTCTTGTTTTTGTTCTGTGTTTTGCCTTGAGACAGGATCTCTCTATGTAATTCAGACTGACTTTAAACTCACTGTGTAGTCCAGGCTGGCCTTGATGATCCTCCTGCCTTTGCCTCTTGAGTGCTGGGATTACACACCCAGTGTATGCCTTGATTTCAACCTTGGGATTCCCTGAGAGTGCTTGCAGGACTTCTAACCTGCAGAACTGAAGCTACAAATGTGTACCAGGCTAAACTGCTAGGTTTGTGCTGTTCCTCATACTCAAGTGGGTAAGGCACCCCTGTGGAGGAACAGGAAGTGAGAGACTCCTGGACAGGCCAAGGGAAAGAGCTAGAGACGCTTTGCTCTTCCTCGCAGAATTCCAGGGTCCCCAGGTCAGAGTCAGGACCCCACTTAGGAGAGTGGTGAGTATGGGTTACAACCAAATGTGACTTTAGTTTCTTTCTGGTACTGAATGTTTCTAATAAAACTCCTAGCCGGACACGGTGGTGCACACCTGTAATCCCAGTACTCGGGAGGCTGAGGCAGGAGGATCACCAAGAGTTCAAGGCCAGCCTCACTACACATCCTGTCTCAGAAAACAAACAAAAAAACAAAACAAAAACAACAAAACAGAAGATGTGTAGGAAAAAGGACTGAACTTTCCAATGTAAAAACCAAATCTAGGGCTGGGGATTTAGCTCAGCGGCAAAAGCACCTGCCTGGCAAGCGCAAGGTCGTGAGTTCGGTTCCTGGTACCGGAGAAAAACCAAAAAAAAAAAAAAAAACACCAAATCTACCTCTTGAGCCCCTAGCAGAGAGAGCCAGAGGCTCCCTACGTATCTTCCTATGTATCTGTTCCTCCCTTTGTTGTTAGTCTCTTTAGCTGGGTGTTTGGAAATATAAACACTGTATTTCCCAACTTCCTTTGCAGTGAAGGCTATGTGATAAGGTGTGGCTATATGATAACATGCTGACCCGTGGATGGGCAAAAAGCCTGTGACTTGCAAAATGTGGCCTAAAGGAGTAGACATGCCTGTCTTGTGTTCTGTTGGCTGGAAGGACAGTGTGATGACTGGAGCACAAGCAGCCACCTTGCACCACAAAGAAGTCAGTTGCTGAGAGCACCTGAAAGTACCTGCTGCACCGCCCACCACGGAGATGTCAGTCCCGCCCAGGGAGCAGCCTGTCTGGCCCCTCCCTCCTTTGAAGCTAGGATGAAAAGTTTCATCAGAGGGCATCCGTTCCGCTTCCTGAGCACCTGGGAAAGCCCAGCTAGAACTGCCTTGTGGAGAGCGCCGGGCCTGCTTCTGTTCTGAACGACCTGTGGGTCCCCACAGGAAAGCACCAAGCAGCTCGGCGTGTGCCCTGCACACCCGAGTGTCGCCTTCCCCACTGCAGTTCCCCCCCTGGCCACGCGTGGGGAGTTACCTGCCATGACCTCCGGTGACTGGAAGAACTCATCGGGATGCACGTAGCCCGTCTGCGGGAGCAGGCACCACAGCACGCGGAGCAGGCTGAGGCCTCCCCAGAATGCCCTGGACGCCACCTCTGGGTTCAGCTGCTGCCGAGGAGCGCGTTGAGAGCCTGGCATGGCCGCCCTGCTGCGGTCACTGCTCTGCTGGGTCCTCAGGTCTGTGTCTGCTGAGAGCGACCCTTGTTAGTTATTAGAATATAAGTTAGCCAGACATGATGGTGCACGCCTGTAACCCCAGCACTTGGCAGTGTGAGCCAGGAGGATCTCAAGTTCAAGCCCAGCCTGGGCAATGTAGTGACTTAGCAAGACTCTCACAATAAATACGAAATAGCCAGGCCTGATTGCACAGGCCTGTAATCCCATCATTCAGGAGGCTGAGGCAGGAGGATCAAAAAGTTCATTCCCAGCCTGGGCTACATAGTGAGATCCTTTGGGTGTGTCATTTTTTTGTTTTGTTTTGTTTTTGTTTTTGGTACTGGGAATTGAACTCAGGACCTTATGCTTGCCAGACAGGTGCTTGTGCCGCTATATCCCTGGCCCCCATAGTGAGATCCTGTCTCAAAAAAAAAAAAAAAAATACTATAAATATTTTTTTTCTGAAAGATGTTTTTGAGTCATGGCCATGCACATTTTCAAGTTCAGTGAGCAGTACCAAACTTTTCCAAAGGTTCCTACCAGCCGGAATGGGTTACATCATGTACCACTCATGGCATTGTCTAACATTTTTTTTTTTTTTGTCTAACATTTTGATTTTATGACTCTTGTTTGTGTTTGTTTGTTTGCTTTTGAAACGGTCTCACTATACAGTTCAGGCAGGTCTTAAACTCAAAGCACCCCTGCCTCAGCCTCCTGAGTGCTGGGATTACTGCTGGGTGCCTCCACGCTTGGCTTAATTTTGTGAATCTTGAGGAACTAACACTCAGATTCAAATGAGTTGAACACTTTTTCAACTCTTTCTTTTGTATCGGGAATTAAACTCAGAACCTCCCACTTGCCAGGCAGGTGATGTACTGCTGAGCTATATCCGCAGCCCTTTTTCAGATGTTTCTGCCATTCTTTTATGGAGTACCTTGCCCATGTATATTGGATCAATTATCTTTTAGTTTCTATGCTTAGGAAATCTTTGTACTTATGTCATGGGAAATATCTTTTCCAATGTGGCAGTATTCTTAGTTCATTTTCATCCCTAATATTGCCTGCTTGCACCTTCTTTGTTCTCTTTCCTCCTTGATCATTCTCATTATAATTTTGTCAGTTTCATTGAAAATCCTTTTCTTAAAATTAACTTTTTTTTTTTTTTGCCTTTTTGAGACAGGGTCTCACCATACAGTTCAGGCTGGCCTTGAGCTCACTTTGTAGCTCAGGCTGGTTTCAAATTTGGAACGATCCTCCTGCCTCAGCCTCCAGAGTGCTAGGATTACAGGCATGCGCCACCATGCCTGGCTTCAAAAAATTAACTTCGGACAGCAAATAAATATATGAAAAAATGGTCAACATCACTGGTCATTTTAGAGATGCAATTAAAATAACACTGAGATTCTATCTCACTCCAGAAAGAATGGCTGTCATCAAGAAATCAACCAATAACAAACGCTGGTGGGGCTGTGGGGAAAAGGGAACCCTTTTCCACTGTTGGTGGGAGTGTAGGCTCGTGCAGCCACTGTGGAAATCAGTGTGGAGATTCCTCAGAAAACCAGGATTGGAGGTCCCATTTTACCTAGTATCCCCCTGCTATCTTCCCAGAAGAATTAAAAACATCATACCACAGTGACGTGTACATACCCATGGTTATAGCAGCAGTTTGCAACAGCTAAATCTTGGAAACCTCCCAAATTCCCATCAACTGATGAATGGATAAAGATGTGGGGGGTTTTATACAATGGAGTACTACTCTGCCATAAAGAAGGATAAACTTGAAACATTTCTAGCTAAGTGGATGCACCTTGAGACCATACTCATAAGTAAAATAAATTGGACACACAAGTTTAAACAGCACATTGTTTCTCTGGTATGAGAAACCAGCAGTGTAAATAAGGACTAAAATGTGTAATAGATATTGGGCAATGGGAGGAAAATGTTCAAATGAGGGCAACAAGGGAGGCGGGGAAGGAAAAAGGGACAACAACAAAAGAATAGAAGGAAAAATGGAAACAGAGCTTTTGTAAATGGGGCGGGGAGGGGAATGGGACAGAAAGCAAGAGACCTCATGCACGGGAACAGCTTCCCTCTGAGGACTGTGATCATTCTGCACATCTAAAAGGTACCCTCAAAACACCCTCTAAAAAAGCTGATGCAGCCAATAAGGTGTACTAGAACAGGAAACAGGAAGAAGAAAAGGAACGAGTCTACAGAAATAAACAAAAAGCTGTTCTTTTAGTGGCAGCCCTGAGGGCGGCTACCAAGATGCAAGGTCTGGGGGCTCAGCCAATGAGACTGCACGTGTGGGAAAGCGGGTCACCTCGAGAAGGAATGTCCCCACCTCCTGCCAAGCCCTGTCCCGTGTGTGAAAAAAACCACCAGAAGGCAGCATGTCCTCAGAGGCAAAGGTCCTGGGGCCATTAAGGCCACTTAGGTAATAGTTCAGCATGGCTGAGGGTCCCCCTGTGCGCAGGTTATCAGCCCAGGGCAGCTGTAACAGGAGGCGCCTCCACTAATCTGTTGGATACTGGTGTGACCCTCAGTTCTTCGCTCCTTTGCCGGACCCATCTTCCCTCAGCACTGACATGTGTGGGGGTCCTCTGGAAACATTATATCAAGTGTCCCTTGAGCTCTGGTTGGGAAGGCCACCTCTGCACTCCGTTTCCTGGTGGCATCTGAGAGCTCCACCCCACTTCTTGGGAGGGACCTGCTAGTGCAGTTGGGAGCAGCTATCCTCATAGCTGCCAACGACACCTTCTCCTCCCTCAAAGAGCCTGGGGTCGGACCCCTGTGTGAAAAAGTAGGGGACAGACTGGATGAGCAATCGCAGCCCCCCAGTGCCACCAGTAAAAATCTGCCTGCGGGATATGCATCATTTCCAAGCCAGAAATAACACCCATTAACGGGAGGCTGGGAGGTACTTAGCAGATCATAAAAACATAAAGGCACAGGCCCATGGGATACCTGCAGCAGTCCACGCAACACTCCCGTTTTGGGGTACAAAAGCCCAGTGAAGACTGGAGGCTAGCCCAGGACCTCAGCTCATAAATCAAGCTGTTGTCCCCTTACACCGGGTGATACCTAACCCCATACTTCATAGTACCAGGCACCAGTGGACTCAGAGTGGTTTGTTTTGTTTTGTCTTTTTGAGACAGGATCTCACTATGCAGCTTAAGCTGGCCTTGAACTCACTTTGTAGTCCACGCTGGCCTTGAACTCACAGCAAATCCTCCTGCCTCAGCCTCCCGAGTGCTGGGATTATATGAGTGTGCCACCACGCCTGGCTTTTGGTGGTTTTTGGTCCTGGATTTAAAAGATGGCTTCTTCTGCATCCCTTTACGCCCAGATTCATGGTTCTCTTTTTGCTTTTGAAGATCCTTCCACACGGACCTCACAGTTGACCTGGGTTGTGCTGCCCCAGGGGCTTCATGACAACCCACATCTGTTTGGGCTAGCCTTGGCCCAAGACTACCTTGATTCCTCTTGTCCACAGGTGGAAGTCCTTCATAATGTAAATGACTTCCTGGTCTGTGCTCCCACTGGAAAAACTGTGAGGATGGGACCCCCAATTTTGTTTTGTTTTGAAACAGGGTTTCACTACGCAGTTCAGGCTGCTCTTGAACTCCTTTTGTAGTCCAAGTTATCCTGGAACTCGAGCAACCCTCCTGCCTTAGCCTTCGGAGCCCTGGGATGACAGATGTGCACCACCACACCCAGCCTGATACAAACTATCTGCCCAAGCCTCACCTGTGTCAGACTTTTGTACAGTATTTAGGATTGATTATTTCAAATGGGACACGAACCTGGGGAAAGAGTGGACAGAACCCGTAATCTTGTTCTCTGCTCCCCAGACCCTAAAACAACTCAGAGGCTTCCTGGGGATCACTGGGTTTTACAGATTATGCATTTCTGGGTGTGGAGAAGTAGGCAGGCCCGTGTCTCAAATGCTAAATGAAGCTCAACAAGATAACACACAGCTCTTACACTGGGACCCAGAATGGAAAAAGGCTTTCAAGACCCTAAAGCAGGGCCGGAGATATAGCCCAGCGGCACAAGCACCTGCCTGGCAAGCGCAAGGTCCTGAGTTCAATTCCAGGTACAAGAAAGGTCCCTAAAGCAGGCCCTGTTTATGGGCCTCAGCGTTGAGCCTCTCAATTTATATGTGATGGAAGGAAAAGAGGGGAAGCATTGGAGGTGCTGACCCAGGCTGGGGAACCCACCCAGTGGCAAGTGGGGGAAATAAGTAAAAAAACAGATTTGGCAAAAGGGTGACCTACTTGTCTCCGGACCGTCAGCGCCATGGCCTTGTTGATCCCTGGGGCCGCTGCGCTGACTCCGGGCGGGGCTTTCACGGCGTACCCCTCCTCGGGCCTCTGGACTGCTGTCCTGCAAGGGCGGCCTCTGCATTTCCGATGAGCGACTGACACAAGACCAGGCTATGCTACTAGAAGGGCGAGAGATTCGAATCAAAAGCTGCCGCCCCTAAGCCGGGCCGAGGCAGGGTCAGTCAGGAGCACAGCGGTAGGTAAGCGCGGCCGGAGGCCCTGGGGAACGCCCCCTCAAGCGAGCCGGACCTGGGCCTCTACACAGACGGGCGCCCCTTTATGGAAAATGGAAGAGGCTACCCAGGGGCGACTCCAGCCAGACGCTCGGTAGTGACCACTTTGCGCAGGGACCGGTGCCCAGCTGGTGGCGCCGAGCCCTAGAGTCAGCAGGGGAATCTGTGCAGACATCCAAGCGCGCCACTTGGTTCCCCCTGCACATGCTGCCATCTGGGAGGAGAGCGACTTCCTAACTGCTGCGGGATCTCCCAACAAACGTAGCCCTTACCACGGCGGTACACGGGCCCCGGGAAGTGGCTGTAATACAAGCAGGGGCCACCAGGGGGAGGGGACGACGTGCGCCTCGGTAACCGGCCGTCGACGCTGCATCAGGCCAAGCTGCAGCAAGACCCCTGCCTGCACCCACTCCCCTGGGCAAGGGGTATTTCAAACCAGAGGACACCCTCACTAAGTGTTCTCGGCGCTAGGCGAAGGCCTAACTCTCCAGCCCTGAGGCTGGTACCAAACAAAGGAGGGAAGGATCATCCTCCCCTCTGCCAGCCGATGGAAGACACTGAGAGCCCCCGCCAGCCCTTCCACCTGGAGAAGGAAAACATGATCCACACGGCTAACGGGTTGTTTCTTTTTCATTTCTTTCTTTCTTTTTTGTCTTTTTGAGACAGGGTCTCGCTATGCAGTTCAGGATGGCTTGAACTCACTTTGTAGCCCAGGCTGGCCTTGAACTCAAAGTGATCCTCCTGCCTCAGCCTCCCAAGTGCTGGGATTATAGGCGTGCACCACCACAGCTGGCAGTGAGAAATTGTTTTTTTGGAAAAGGGCTCAAAGCGACAGTCTCTCTGGTGATTCAAGGATATGAGGTTTGTCAAAACAAAACAATCCTGAGCTGGGCATGGTAACATATGCCTGTGATCCCGGTGCTCGGGAGGCTGAGGCAGGAGGATCACTGTGAGTTTGAGGCCAGCTTGGGCTACAAAGTCAGCTCAATGTCAGCCTGAGCTGCATAGTGAGACCCTGTCTCAAAAAGACAA